TTTTTTTTTTTTTTTTTTTTTTTTTTTTTTTTTTTTTTCTTTTTGAAACTATAAAAAGCAGCAAGTTTTTCAACACGTTCGTACCTAAAAATTCTAGATCGCTCATTATAGATATATAATATTTTATATATATATTGCGTCCTTTTGCACTATGGTATAATTTGTGGCTTGAAAAATTTTAATATTGTAACATAATAATAATATTTTTATTATATTATTATTAATTATATTATATTATATTATAATATATGTTGAAATATAATATATTAATATTATTTTATAATTTATTATTATTATTGTTGTAAATTTTTTTATTTAAATTTTACAAGTCACACTTAGAAGTGTAATTCAAGATTATAAGATAAGGGATTAAACTGCGTATAACAAATGTATATAAGAATGAATTATTTTATGATACAAATAAATGTAAGGATCGATTTAATATTAATTTAAAAATTAATTAAGAAATATTGTTACAGAGAAATTGATATATATATATATATATATAAATATATTTTTAATAATAATATTTTAGGGAGGAGCTGTTGTTAATGAGAAAAAAATATTAGATAAATGCCATGTAAAAAGAATAAAAAAAGAAAAGAAATTAAGATGAAAGATGTAATATTCATTTTTATCCTATTTTCTACATGGAGATTCAAATTGAATTATATAAATGAAAAAAATAGCTATCATGAGAAATTCATAAATATAATATTGGAAAAAAAGAAAAAGTAAGTATTCAAAATTAAATTTCATGGATCATATTTTTTATTTATGATGAATTATTTATGAGAATATATTTTCAAAAGATTAACTATTATATAATAAATTCAATATAAATTTATAGGATAACGAAATATTTATTGAACATACTAGCAAATATAATTATTCAACATTTAACGAAGTCAGCTATGCATTATTCTTGTTCATATTGAGTTACTTCAGTTAAAATCTGATGATACAGTATATACTATTCATTAAAATTCACTCTCAAAATATACTCGTATCACATTTTACAAAATCTAACCAAATCTCTTTTCATCTCAAATAACAATAGAATTTTCGAATAATGAATGGAAATATAATTAAACGAGTATAATATTTCTTACATTTACGATAAATATGGATTATTTATCGAATATTGAATTCCTTGTTGCATATTATATCATAAAATATAATTAAAATTTGCAATTCAGAATTTATTATCGTTTAAAATGAGAAAACTTTTCTATTTTCTTTCTCTTGTTTATTTTCATTCTTTTTAAATATTTCCAATATAAATAAACTATATCAAATTATTCGAAATGCAGCAAACACTTAAAAATAATCATTTTCATTGATTTTTATTGAATTCTTTTTATGAATTCTTTTTAATAATCAATTTACTTCTCAACAAATAATTCTCATCATATAAGAATAATTTTTCTACAACTTCTAAAAAAATTTAAATCGTTAAAAAAATATCCCACAAAAAATTTGTCTCTCATCGTAATGCTTAACTTTTCAGATAATACTTATACATAACACTTTTACAAACTTTTCCTTGAGAAACTTTTTCCTTTTTTTTTTTTTTTTTTTTATATATATAGATATACGTAGATATTTAAGCGTCCTATTTTCTATTTCGACTCATTCCCCGTGTAAATTGTCGTATCTCGACCGAAAGATGGAACAAAATATCTGAAACTCGATAAAAAAGTTTCGTGTCGAGTACTACTTCAAAAATGATTAACCAGCAATTTTTTTCCTCGAATTAAATTATTGCAATTTGAGACGAGTTTCGAGATCCATATCTCGATGTTTGCTTTCGTTCCTCTATGATACACTCTATGGATTTATATTAAACCCATCGTGTATAAAGAAAATTGCAAAACGCAACATTGCTTTCGATTCACTTACCACGAACAGTGCATAATGTCATGTACACAAGAGCGAAGCTCATAGCTAGTTTACGCTTCGCCAGCCTCAAAGGTGATTGCTCGCTCTTCTAGAAAGCAATAAATGAAAGGTAAAAGGCGAGTGTGTCACGAACGCGACTTCGAATCGTTGGATTTAATTCGCTCACGATTCCCTCTTTTCCATTCGTCTCGATCGGATTTAGTTCCATAGTTAAGTGGGTCGTTTGATAAGTCGTTGAACAGTATGATGTAGTCTGACGAGAGTAAGTCGTATGTTTTAAGTGATCTTAACACGAGCGAGGTATATGGAGTAGAATTCTAATGCATTTTCATGTCTTGTGCCTAGGGAGTTATTATTTTGATATCGTTTTAAGTGTTTAATCGGTTCGATATAATAAATATAATAAATATAATAAAGTTAGAGTATTGGTAATGGACTCGAAATGAATTTTTAATGTGAAATTGTAAATAACGTACATAGATTGTTTTTTATTATTTTATGATATTAGATTATTGATGTGTATCATTTTCAATGTGATGTAATTTTTGATTATTAGTAATAAAATTAATATAATTATAAATAATAATTAAATAATATAATAATATAATAAAAATAAAATAATATAATATAAAATAATATAATATAATTTAATAAAATAATAAAATTTATATCTATATGTTTGTAGAATGTAATATTTGAATATTTAAAATTGATTTGAATTATTATTTTATTTTTATAAAATTAAAAGAGACAAAATATAATTATTATCATAAAATATTGGTAAATTATTAATAAATTAATTATTAAATTATTTATAAAGTCAATAAAATTAATAATTTTATAAATTATATTGAATTAATTGATATAATAATTAATTGATATTAATATAAAATATAAATTATTTAATTATAGATAAATTATTTATAATATTAATTAAATTATTAAACGATATTAGAAATTAGAATAATATTATATAAACTCGAAATATTTCCTTTTCGCGCAATGTTATTACCGACACAACGCGTGACTTTGCCCGCCGAGCCACAGTCGAGTGGTGGGGGGGCTCAGTTTCGTTTCGACTTTCATACGGCGTAGTCGCGTCGCAACGACACGCGATCGATTTCATACATTATTTAAAATTGTACACGTGTTTTTTAAGTATTTAAAGTATGCATATTGTATTCGCGAGTGTTTAAAGTACGTATATTGCATTCACGTCTCGATTTTTGTACGGTGTAGATATATTGCAATTATGATCGATTTCATACATTATTTAAAATCATACAGGTGTTTTTTTAAGTATTTAAAGTATGCACATTGTATTCGCGATTGTTTAATGTATATATATTGCATTCTCGAGTATTTTAAAGTACGTATATTGTATTCGCGACTGTTTAAAGTGCGTATATTGTATTCACGATTATGTTAGAATACGCGCGTTTATTCGTGAGTGTCGATACGTTTCATCTTTGCAATGGAGGATCGAGAAGGTAGTAACTAGCACGAAGTTATCTACAAACGGTAAGTCGCATTTTGATACAGGTAGTTGATTTATTTTCTTTAAATATTTCTTTAAATATATAAAGAAAATAATTATTTCTAATAATTGTGTACAATAATATTCATTTCTTATTTGGTTTTGTTATATTCTGTTTTTTTATTAATGATTTACAATATTTGATAAAATATATTAAATATATTAAATATATTAAATTTCCAATCTAATTTAGGTCTTGTTATACATCGTAAATGTTCCATAAACTTTAGAAAATGTTGTCATGAATATTTGTTTTCTTGGGCGTTGTGATAATTGCGCAATTCATTTCAAAGAGATCAGACTTTCTTCAGGCGGTGCTCGTTAATTTACATTTTATCTCGGTATTTAGTTTCTGTGTTTCTATGTTGCTTCATTAGGATTATTACGTCCTTTTTAATCGTGATAAACATAACAAACGCGTCTGATTTCTGTAAAAAAAATTTCGCGAAGTAGAAATGTATATTGTTATCTGAAATATTTTTTTTTTTATTATTTGAAAAATTTTCTTGTAATTCTTAAGATCAAAAAAAGAGAAATTCAATAATTTTTCATGTGGAATTTCTTTTTCTCTCTCTTTTTTTTATGTAATTCTTTCACTATAAATAAAAATCTTTTAGAAATATATAAGTCTGATGAATAAATTTATGAAAATTTATTCATCAGATATAATATGCATATTTAATTATATAATTTATATGTCATATTATTTTATTATTGAATTGTTTTATGTAATATTAAAAATTTCAATCATAAATGAAACATGTTTATATCCTATATGGCATATTTTATCTAATTATATATGCATATACTTCCAAATTGCCAAAAGGAATAAGAAAGAGAATGGAAATGTAAAATAATTTGTTGAAATAATAATACGTAGTATTCTAGAAACGAACATAGTTATATAGATAAATAAATTAAAGGAAATTGCGGATAAGTTAAAAGAATAAAATATATATAAGCTTTAGCTTTCGCTTTTCGGGATAGAGTATTTTAAAGAAAAATTTTTTTTTTAAATTTTATTTCTTTCCTTACATTTTTTTTCTACCATAGTATCATGTTAAATTTTGAAAACAATAATCACAATACGATAATCGAAAGATTTTCAAATTATTTTCTCCATTATCAAAAAGTTATAAAAAATTTTTATTAAATTCTTGTCTCTTATTTTCAAACTTAAAATAAATTTCATTTTTTCAAGAACTGTATTGAATATTTAAAATTTCATAGAAAGAAAATACATATGAAAAGAAATTAAAATTTTTTTCAAATCTAAAATCAGGAAATAGAAAAAATTATTATAGTTATTTTTTATTTTATCTCGACATTTCGTAAGAGTTTATAATATGTTTAAGATAATGGAGAAATTATGAATGAATTTTTCGTTTATTTCTGGAAATACATACATTCTTTTAGAAATAAACCAGAAACTCGCATCTATAATCGTGATCAGTTTATCTAAAGTGTGGGATAGGTTAGTGAGATGCAAACAAAAGATTTGAGTATCCAATAAGAATGAAGATAATAAACGATTAAAATTATCTTACATTTTTTATCTACGTCTTTTTTAATCTCCATTTAACCGTATCATTTTCTTATCATCATTTTACGTGACAATATCTCGGGAATTGGAAGTCGTATCGGGATAAATCAAATTGCGTTTTAAAGAATACGATTCCATTTTTTTAACGATCTTTCATCCATCGATCTGGAATCATTATCTTTGAAATTATATCAGTTTTTTTTATTTTAATAATTTTTTTTCTCGAATTATAAAATGAATTACATACGTTCATTTCCAATAATATTAAAACTATTTTATTTACGTTATATGTAAAATTCACACAAAAATCTATATACATACGAATCTATACATAACGCTAACATTTGAACGATCGATTTTAAATTGGCAGTGAACGATGTAAATTTTCTTTAAATCTTCCCTGTATCATCATTCTTCTCCGATAGAAGGAACAGAAGTGTCGTAATCACGATTTAAGTCTGGAAATCGTTAGTATATCTCGTTATTTTTTTTGATGATCGCCATTGTTGTATCCCAACTTGAAGAAATCTTTCAGCACTACGTTGAACGTTACGGTAACAATACCCTCCACTCTCATGCGCGTGACTGCAATTATAAAACGAGTTATTACACTCGGGTGGCGAGGAATAGGCAAAACATCAGGTGCGCATAGCTTCTCGGCCATAGTTTATGGCGTCTGGGAATCGTGGAAAATAAACCGTGTTTCTGAGGCGCAAGTGCTTCCATTCAAACCACTTTATTCCGCGTTATTCTATTTTATTCAGAATCGCGAAAATCGTAAAAATATTCGCGACGATTTCTCGACCCATAAAATTCTCCTTATCTGTAATTAAAAAGTGGACGAAGATTTTTATCGGAATTATTCTCTTATTTTACTATTTTATTTATTATTATTATTATTATTTTTTAATGATATCTTCGAATATAGTTGTCATGATAGAGGGTAGATTTTGATAGTTTTCACGCAGATGATAGTTAGATTGAAATATATTTCACGAAGATAAGACTTGTTAATAAATTCTCGCGCATATCGGCGGTGAAAATTCGAAATTCGATTTATAATGCTCGAAATATTTATCTCTATCATCCGAATTCTCCATTTTACCAAATTTTCCTAAACTTTTTTAAAAATTGTATAAAATATAAAAGCCATTCAACCAAATTTATCCAAAGAAACACCCCTTTTATCCTTCGAACCTCGTGCAAACCAAGCATTTACCAAGAAAAAAAATATACCACAAATACGATCAAAAATTCGATAAAATCGGAAGAGAATTCCTTGCAGCGCCAACGAGAAAAAAAAAAAAAGAAAAAAAGAAACTCACCACCGTTCAAAAAAGCAAATAACCCCGGGGCAAAAATTCTCATCGATATAATGCCAAAAGAGACAAGCCCACGTTCGACATTTTCAAAGAGGAAAAACAGTGCATGGCCGAATCTTGGTAACAATTGATATCAGCAAAGTTGGACGTATCGATTAACTCGCGTTACAGATTCTCTCACCAAAGAGAGAGAGAGAGAGAGAGTGAGAGGGAGAGAAGGGCAGTTTAATTCCTTCCTGTCCGCGAATACGGAAATGTGTATGTTGACACAGCCGACGTATATCGAATCCTGTCCTTAATACTTCGAATCTTTGCAAGTTCAATTAATTTAACGTCAGTGGGCATAGCCATCAGGATGAGATCTGGAACGTGGAAACTGAAAGTGGCTCGAAATATTGCCTTACGTTCTCTACCACCACCCGTGGCCAATATCGTTGGATCAATTAGTTCTGGCCTTCTTCCGGTTAACCAGGCTGCGAAACGTTGCAACATCGACGAAGATTCTGGCACGTAGACGGATACCCTGCAAGAAATTTCATCGTTGTTTTCATCGATGCTCGTCACTGGCGAAATGCTTGGACTGGCTAATTAAACTAGCTTGGGGGTGGTGGCTCGATGTTTGCCAGGTGGCTCGAGATTGCTCGAGATACGACGTAATAATTATCCGAATAATTAGGTGGGGCCCCATTCTGGTAAATAGTTCGAGGTGTTCGAACGGATATAGATATTCGAGGGGGTGTTTGAAATTTGATAGGAAGATTTCGAAGTGAATATAATTTGGGAATATAATTTCGAGAATTTGGAATGTGTTTGTTTTGGGAATAAGTTTCTGGATTGAGTTATTTGTGATTTTTAGGGGAGGTTTTGAGGTATTTAGGGGAGATTTATTTGTTTTGCGCGAAGGATGATTGTATTTGAAGATTATAGAGAAGATAAATCGTGGCTTTTTTTTCTTTTCTTTTCTTTTTTTTTTTTTCTTTGGGATCGTAAAATTATTGTTCGATGATCATCGATTCACTTTATTTAAGACTGTTTTTATTTGGTCTTGGAATTAGGTCCTACATTTCAATTTTTCGATCTTCTTATTTTTGATAGAAACTGATTTTTTAAAAATATTCCAACAAAGAAACAATTCGATAGAGAAATCGTGGAAAATTTTAGTTTATTTTTATCGTGAAATTGATAATCAAAATTCCTGTTTAATTTAAATTAAAATTAATGAAAGAATTTCATAAAAAATATAAATGTTTTAAACTATATTTTAAATTTTTAATTTTAAAGTTCCAAATTTGATTCTATAATTCATTCCTTTTTTAAATATTATTTTCGTAAAATTGAATAAATCCAGGAAATTATTAAATATACATGCTTTCTTGACTCTATCACACTAAATAATTCAACTCTAACTAAATTATTTATTTCAAGATAGCTTCCTTTTGAAGCTATCTTGATTTAGTTATCAAATAATATAAAAGTTAAAAAAATCAACAGGCATCTCCACGATACATACATAGGTTTTTGATGATGATCTTCATTTATCTCTTAGATTGAAGTATCGTTAATTGATACACCGAGGTGTGGCAATAAGTAATAAATAACACGGTGTTAAATTTCGCTATGAAATAATAAAGACTGGTTATAATCTAATACCTTTTCTCATGGTGACCTATTTTCAACGGCAAATGACACACTCCATATCCTCTGATGACGTCGTGGCCAAAGACATCCAACCCATAAACAGACAATATTAACTGGGGCCCTAGAATTTTATATAGAGAATAGATAAAGGATTTTTGCGTTTTATTTTTCAGTTTTATTAAGAGAATTTTTCAATATTATTAGGATTTTTTTTTTTTATTCCAAGTATTTTTCATTCATAGTACTCTCATTCGTGTTTAGTTAGAGTTGACAGCATAGCGTGGGTGGCTTAGCATAGAAAGTAAAAAAAAGTTGACATAACGTTTTCAAATATTTCACGTCGTATTTCAAGTTTATAATTTTTAGTGTAAATTATCAAGAATGGAAGGAAGAGAGATGGCAAAATTTCTTTTTTTCAAATTATTTATAACAATTAATCTTCTTCTTTCTTTCCCCATTCTGATTTTTAATTTCCAATATGTTAATCTATGTATCAATTCGACAATTGTTTATAAATTAAAAAATAATGAATTTTATTTTACCTTAAATTTATTTGTAATTTTAATTTTATCTTTGCATATCTTCTCTGTATTCAATTATAACAACCCATAAATATGAGTACAACCTATTTGTTCAACAAACAAATTAAGGGAGAGAATTTATGATATTTTATTACAAATTTCAACGAGACAAATTCTCGAATAACATAAACGAAACAACAAAAAATATAAATAAATAACATTACATCGAATCGAAATTTAATACCGAAGCTTTGCCGAAAACAAATATAAAAAGAAAAAAAAAATTTACGGTTTTAAAAAATAGAATGCGAAATATCTCGCGCGGCCAAGCGTGAAAACGTTCAAACAAATCAAGCATCGACTCACATCCATAGGGATTAGTACTCTTGAACGTGACTTCCAGCGGGAAATTCCAAACTGCCAGATTTCGCGGGTCATCGCTGCACTTGCATATCTGTGTCAAACCCTCCTCAATACCCTGATGGAATTTTGCACAAGTCAGTGGCCGATCGACGGTTAAAATCCCCTTTGGAATCACATCGACGTCGATGTGACGTCGTGTCAAATGACTAAACAAAATAACTCACCGCGACCACGCTCCATTCCGGGCCAAAGTGAAATCCATATTTGCAGTAGGCGTTGTCGATGTCGTAAAATTCCGCGTATTCGATGGATCCTGTGATTGAGAGGAAAAATTCACCCTCGATCGACATGACAGGATTACGCGACGAGGATCGATTTATTTAATTTATTATATTTATTTAATTTATTTTTTATCACTTCGAATACGCTGAACGTTTCCCCAGGATAATTAATATATCGATATCCACGATATATTTTATTCGAGGAATAATAGAGGAATAATAATAAAGATAATAGAATAGGTTTAGTATTCGCGATTATTTTAATTATTTTAAATCCATAAGTTTTTTTTTCAGAAAAATTTCTGCACTGCGTTAAATATTTCACAATATTTTGTTTTACATTTATTTTATTTTGCTATATTATTCACTATATTTTTTATTTAGGAAATGTTTTTTTTTAATTAACTTAGATCTACGATATTTTTTTTTGTTACGTTAATAAATTCGCGATGTTTATTTTAGATTCATTATATTTATTATAACCGTAAATAATGTAGATCCGCGGATTATTTTTTTTAACTTCGGGATATATATTCTAATTTTTTTTAAAAGCTGCGATATTTTTAGAAAATTTCTAGGGATAGAAATTGGATTAAATCTAATTTTTTTCGAACAGTGTTATAACCTTTGAATGGAAAAGAGACTAACAATAGGTTTATTTATGCTGATGGACGTTTTGTGTACGGTTAGGCGAATCGGTCGTCCTGGTAACGAAGCATGCGCCTCGATTTTGTATAACATGTGGTTCATTTTAACGGTGAAAAGATGTAGATAATATGGAATATTCTCTTTTAGTAGTCAGGAAAGCGTCAGTCATGTTATCTAATATAACAGCTTTCATTATTCACTTAAACTCTATGTTGACGCGATATTAAATATTTGGAGAAATTGAGGAGAATCGTGAATCGAGAAAATGAGGATGGAAAATAATTTCTAGGTGTGCAATCTCGTTTAATTTGATGAATTAAATTTAACATCGTCGAAAAATGTAGAAAAGAGAAGGTGAAAGACAGATGACGATATACGCATGAATCAATATAATGATAAAATAGGATTTTATAAATAAAGAATTACGTTTAAGGAATAAGGAGTCATATTAGAATAGAAAATTAAAAATATGTAAAAATATCAAAGCAATTCTACTTTTAAAAGTAGAAAAATAATTTTTTTTCGGTAGTAAAAAATTATACAAGTTGATATTGAATTTTTATAAAATATTTAGATTTTACTATTATCTATTGAATATTTTTAATAATTTAAATATTTTAGCTTACGACTGTGAAATCTAAATATTTTTATAAAAGTAAAATAATTATGCTGTAATGATATTTGATAAAAATTTTTATTGCTTATTATTTTTTTTTTCGATATAAATTTTTTTTTTATATTTAAATATTTTCATGATCAATTATATAATTACAGATGTTCCAGACTTTGTCACGGCGCATGCTTGGATCTGATTATCATCGATAGATCATTATCAGGAAAAACATTGTCATAGATCATACGTTGCTATTAAATAATCCTTCGCCAGTTTTAACATGGATCTTCTTGAATCTATCTTCATCTTCTATAAAAAGGGGTAAGTTGTTTTTTATTTATTATTTTAATTCATACAGAAATTAGTTTATATTGATTTCGAGGTTAGATGAATTGGACACAGTGATTTATTTAGAGTTTTAGAAATTTTTTTAATATTTACTTTTTATAGTTTTTTCAAAAATTCTACTTAATAAAATAATTAAATTCAAATTATTTTAAACAATGTTTTGATATCTTTGATATTTCTTCTATTTTTTTTTTTTTTCGTTTTAAGAAATGTTTTTGATAATTGAAATTTAGGCAATCATTATTTTAAAATATTTTATTGAAAATTAACATAATATTATATTAAAATTTCATTCGTACTTTAATTGCAATTATGATTTTATAACTCTTTAAAAAAAAAAATAGTTTTTCTGTTTATCAACAAACGATAATAACGAGAAAAATTATTTATTATTTTTATAAAAATTAGTCATAAACATTTGAAGAAAAAAAAAATATTTCCACTTCAATTTTTCCAAAATCAAAGATACCATTGAAATTATATAATTATATAAGAATACATCGAATGAAAATGATAAAAAATTTTCTTCATCGATATTAGGCGGGAAAATCACGTTCGATATTGCATAAAATAAACGAAATAATGATATTATTCGCTCCAGAAAAATTTTTTATTTCTTTCTGATGCAATAACAACGAATCTTACATTCGATAGTATCAGTCGTATCTAGAAAATATTACAATTGTGACATGTTCTACACTGCGAACGATACGTAATATGTACAGAAGATTCTGTCGAACCAGAACGAAATTCATGCCCGATAAGAAGACGTGCAATCTCGACGTGCCATCGTCGGGGCTGTACACGATTTTTTAAAAATGAACACACAATGGCACATACGAGTTGCATTGTCTTCCTTATCGGCAGATGAAAATTTCCTATTGCGTTTTTTACGAAACACAGAATCTTTCAACGCGTGATTTTCAACAGGCGTGATACAAGTGTGTAACAATGTCTAAAGAATGATACGATCCATTCTTTTCTAAGATAAACTGACGTCAACTAGAAAATTGGCTAGATTATTCTTCTTATGTTTCCACTCAGGCTCGGTTCATCACGGTTGTTGTTCTCTTCCATTCGTTATCTTACGACGAATATTACGAATTTTATTGAGGTATTGATCAACTCACACCAAAATATCTGGCATGACCGCACGTTCTTCTCTCCTCTTCTTTCTTTCTCGTTTTTTAAGTAACTTATTCGTCGATCGCCATATCGATCGAAACGACGATCGAAGCGCCCTCATCTTGACGAATATTTTACGTAAATCTAACTGGAAGATTGGTGTGTTATATTGTATCCATTCTTAGCATCGATATCGATAAACACACAATTAACTACGAGATCGTGCACGTTTTCTCGAAAATGTGAAATTTCTTCGATGAACGAACGCGATTACTGTCCACTGGCAATCTCCTTCATACGATTTAGAGCTGAACCTGCCTTGAACCAGGAAATTTGTTGCTCGTTCAAGGTGTGATTTAACGTGATTTTGTCCACTTTGCCATCCTTGTGTTTGATTTCTGCTTGAACGGGCTGTAAGAGAAAAAAATTAGGATTAGACACGACTTGTTGAACGTGTTAGGACAGAATAGAATCTTTTGATTGGAAATTTGATCGTTAGCCAAGATTTTTATTTTATTCTAGAAAGGATATGGATTAAAATTATTGCATAGGAACTAAGGATAGGAATAAGGATTGCCTCATATCCTTGAATACTTGAATGGAATGCACTGATGATAGTTATATTAATGTTAGATATTTTTAATGTTTCTTGATCGACTATATATGGATGACAAATTTAAATTCAAATATATTGCGTTGCATGTTATAGCGGGAAAACTAAAATAAACTAGAAATAGAATAACAATATAGAAAAAACATAAAGGATACAGGATGTTTCGTAGGAGAAGTTTATATGAAAAGAATGAATAATAATTATGAATAATGATTAAATCATTGTAATCTATAGAAAAATCTAAATGGCTAGCTTATTTTCATCGTGAAAGATAATTAAATCATTAATGAAAACGTACTTTTCCAGGTGCCAAATCCTTTAATCCAAGAAGGCTGATCTTATCTGTAGGTTGAATCTTATCGTAATCACTAGCATTGGCAAAGGTGAGAGGCAACAATCCTTGTTTCTTCAAGTTGGTCTCGTGGATACGGGCAAAGCTCTTTACAATAATGGCACGGCCACCTAGATGTCTCGGTTCCAAAGCTGCGTGTTCTCGGGACGAACCTTCACCGTAGTTTTCGTCACCAACTGCTACCCATTTGACGCCATTTTTCTTGTAATGTCTGGCAACGTCCGGAACTTTACCCCACTCACCAGTAAGCTGGTTCTTTATTTTGTTCATTTCACCATTTTCTGCATTCACAGCTCTACAAAATTTGTCGAGATATATATTTAAATTGGAATAATTGAATTGGAATAATTGAACGTGAAAGAAAGATCTTCAATCTTTAAATTTTTAAAATTTACCCGATGAACATATTGTTCGAGATATTGTCCAAGTGGCCACGATATTTCAGCCATGGGCCAGCAGCCGAGATGTGATCTGTGGTGCATTTTCCTTTTACCTTGATCAAAACGGTCAAATCGGTGAGATCTTTGCCGTCCCATTTGTCGAATGGCTCTAACAATTGCAATCTCTCGCTCTTCGGGCTCACGTCGACTTTGACAGTGCTACCATCTGCTGGAGGAGCATCATAAGTGTCTTGGCCAGGGTCAAAACCACGGTTTGGAAGTTCATCACCTGGAATAATAATGGATTTTTGAAAAAATTTAAATATTAAAATTAAATTTAAACATTTTTTATATTGTTTCTGAAACATTGAAACAATTTTTTGAAAAACATTTTTCTTCTTTTATTGTTAAATAATCAAAATTAAATAAATACAAGAAAAAAAGTTCCAAGAAAAATAATGTTCGAAAATTGTCACTATGTAAAAAATACATTGTGAAATATTTCATAAATTCACTATATAAACGAGTTTCCTTCGAAAAACATACTTATCATCGAAATAATTGTCTCAAGCAAAGATACGAAAGAACTTTGTTCTTTTCATAAAAAAACAAATAAATAGATTCACGAATTTTTTATCAATCTCTCGCTGTTTGTCCATGAAATAATCTCGCAGAATGAAATAATTAACTACATCATTTCTTTTCATCTTCAAATTGAATTAAATAATTTCAAAAATAAAAATTATATCAAATATTTCGTAATCTGATTCAATCCTCGTTAAATAAATAGTAAAATTAAAAAATAGTAAGTTAAAAATAATAAGTTAAATATAACGTTGTAAATAGTCAACGTTTCATTCAATATCAAAATCATATGCAGACATATTGATTAACTCATTATAAAATAAATATCACAGGTTGTGACTCATGTTTAACTGTCTGCAGACTAATAAAAAAAAAAAAAAATCAATAGAATTCCATTTATATGAATTTATTAATGAAAATTCATTTAATGAATCCCTAATCAGCCACGATTTTGAATTATTCTTGACTAATGAATTAATTCTTTACTTGAATATTCATGCAGTTTGTGGTTCAAGTTCAAGATAATTAGACCATTGTTTAAAATTTACCTCACATAATAAGATAAACAATGGAATGTTTGTAATAAAATAATTAACGAATAATTTCCTATTTACCGAACGGATCTTTAAGAAGGAATTCCTTTCCATCCTTGGCCTTGAGCTTATCGGTAACCGGATTAAAGTCCAATCGGCCAGCGAGCGAAAGAGCAGTGACGAGTTCAGGGCTGGTGACGAAAGCGTGTGTCGCGGGATTGGCATCGTTTCGACCCGTGAAATTACGATTGTACGATGTGACGATCGTGTTCTTATCACCCTTCTTGATGTCTTTACGATCCCATTGACCGATGCAGGGCCCACAAGCGTTCGCCAACACGGTGCCTCCAAATTCTCGAAGAATCTCGGCCTAAACGAAAGGATCTTAAGTTGCTTAAATGGTAATTTTTTCAAATAATTTTATTGTATTAACGATATATGGATTTTAAAATTTTGCAATATTGTAAAACGATTAAGTATTTTTAATATCTCTTCTTAGCTCTATTCCCCTTCGCAATATCTAGAATTTTTCCAATAGGTTTTAATATTATTCCGTTTTGTAAACTTGGCCAAATTTTAAAACGCATCTTAATCGAATCGATCTCATTGTCATCCAGTGATCCTCCGATCACGAGAATCGACAAGTCACTATTTTTTCCCTTTCCTATTGTCAAAATACATCGAAGCCAAATTAAGAATTGGCGTGGGTCGCGTAATTTGTTTCTAAGCGACATGTACCAATGTCTGGCACGGGTTCAAAGTAACTGTGCAACTGTTCCACCCGATCCTTATACCAAAGCATCGTTCTAGAAATATACGTATACTCACTATTCCGTCGCGTTCGATCGTGGCACGAATTTGTTCCGAACCTGGCGTGACATTGAACGCCGATTTCGCTTTTAATCCATTATCGATGGCTTGCTTAGCGATATTAGCGCAACGACCCATGTCCTCGTAAGAGCTGTTCGTGCAGGAGCCGATCAGGCCGACCTTGATCTCGTTAGGCCAGCCATTCTTCTTGGCAGTTTCACCTGGTTGGAATTAGTGCAAATGATACGAGCTTAGCTTTTCTTCCTTTCTTAAATTCTTTCTTTCAATTTTATCTCTTTTCTAAATTATCTCGTGTAACAAAATTTATATACCAGAAAAATTTTAACTAACTTCCAATTCTTCAAGTTATCTTGAAAGAAGTCGATTAATTGATATTACAAGAGGATCCATTAAGTTTAAGAATTAAAAGAAATAACTTGGATGAAAATTCAATTCGATTCGATTACTCACCCAACTTAGAAATGGGATGAGCGAGATCGGGCGTGAACGGTCCGTTCACGTGTGGCTCCAACGTAGAAAGATCGAGCTCTATGATCTGATCGTATTTAGCGTTG